AGACGATGCCTATGCGCCCCTCCACCTCGGCGCCCACCACCACCTTGTGCGTTTCGCCGCGCGCGCGCTTGCCTGGATGCTGTATCAGGCCCACGCGCGGGTAGCCCGCATCACAGGCGGCAAAGACCTCACGATCACGGCGACACGGGTCGTCGGGGCGAGGAGCGGAGCCACGCCACGAGAGCTTCTGAAAACCTGTATGGTCATCAATATTCAGCATCTCGACAAACGGGCCCCGCGGGAAGGGCGAGCGGTGGACAACCTGCTCGTGAGGCCGCAAAGCCCCGAAGCTGTGCAAGACGCCTTCATGCGCAGAGTTGGCAATCTCCACAGCCATGTTGTCGCCCATCGCCAGAGCATTGAGGCAGGGCGCGACATCCACACCTTCAAGCTCGGGGCGCCAGGCTCGAAAGGCCTTGAAGCGAGATGATGGCAGACGAACGCGCAGGGCGTTACGTCTGGCGCGCGCGGGAGGGACGCGGAAAGTGTAGTAAAACTCCCGTAGGTCGTCACAAGAAACTGCCAGCCATTCCCCAGGTGCCAGCCCCAAACGGCACAGCAGGAAACCTTGGCCAAGGCGCTGGGTGCTGGACGAAATTGAAGCACAGCGGCTGTTCACGACCGTGGGGTTCAGGATCAGCCTGTCGAAATCGCTGTCCTTCGGTACCCTGAAAGCTCCACAGGCTTCATCCCAGGCGAGGTCCGAAGCAGGAGTCAGGTACAGGGCGCCACAGGCATCCCACTTCTGGAGTAGGGCCCACAGCTCGGCGCGGTCCATATGGACGCGCGCTCCCTTCTGGCCAGCAGGCCACTCTGATGCCGGTAGCCGCATCACCTCTGGATCGATGAAAGCTTCGCGGACTCGAGCGTCGGAGAGGAAGGGAACGGGATCAAACTCTGGCGAATAATCCCACTTGATGCGAGACGCCCTGACTTTCAAATCGAAGGGCTCGGCCTGGGTGGAGTCCCAAGCCGCCGCAGCCGCCAACGAACCAGGCACAGAAGGAGCGCTGGTCGGGCAGTGCCGCATGGGGGCGGGTACGGAAGAAGAGGAAGTGAAGGAGGCCTCCAAAGCTGCAACATGGGTGGCCAGGCCATGGAGCGAGACCTCAGTGGAGTCGAACTTGGCGAAGGCTCGACCTAAGTCGCTCTTGCCGCCACGGGCGAGGCGAACTGCGATCCGACACAACCGTTCGATACGGGTGCGGACGCCCTCCTGGCAGGGCGAGACCGTGGCGCGGACGCGAGCCTCGGCGGGAGCGAGGCTAGGATGACCCAAGGTGAGCCAATTCAACGCAATAACAGAATACTGCGCGAGCGTCCGCGCCGCGCGCCGCAATCTCCAGCGCTCCCTGCGCCTCGCCGACAAGCCGTCAGGCGGGGGACCAAGAGGTGGAGCAGGCGGGCACGGCCAAGGATCGCGGGGAGGCGGCCCCAAAAGGTACGGGTCGTCCCTGTCCATTGCACGCATAGATGAGCGGGAGAAAGATCCAAGAGAACATCGAGCACCCATCCCAACCTGGGACAGCGCTGCCGCCCAGTGGGTGATATCAATGTTCGCGCCTGGAAACAGGCGCAGCAAGGCAGACAAGTCAGCGACGAATGGCGCGACTTTGGCAAGAGCAGCAGGGGTGCTTGAAGGAGAACAGGCACCAGCAGGGACACCAACCTCAGGAGCTGCAGGCCCCCTGGAGGGCGCGCTCGACTGAGGCAGGCGTCGGCCAAAATGGCCGAAGGGATCCGAGAAGCGGTTCGGAGCAGAGCGAAGGGCGTGGTGGCGGAACGTACTCCTCCCTGCGGGGCCGCAACAGCATCGCTGGAAGAGCGCATTCCTACCCTCGCGCCCTCGCTGAGCCCAAACGCGCCTAGCAGCCGCAACAGCGTCGGTGCAGACTGTGTGCGGCGGCGTACCCCGGCCCCGCGAAGGCCCACCCTTCCAGGAGGCGGGCGCCAAAGGCGCCCTCAGTCCTTCTTGGGCACCGCCTTCGGTGCCTTGGACGCACCCTGGGACTTGAAGGGGGGCTTCGAAACCTTGGGCTGCTTGGGCTGATGAGGTGGATGCTTGGGGAGCGCGACGGCGCGCTCGGCGTCGAGACGCGCCCGAAATGCTTGCAGCTCCTTCACGTATTCGCCCTGCGCCGACAGCCAGCGAGGATCCACCAGGGGTGAGAACGGGGTCTGGGCCTCGCGCTCCGTGCGACGACTGGTCACGCGACACGGGGGAGGCTCCAGCCCCGTAAGGAACCAGGCGGCCTCGAGATAGCCGCGGTCCCCCGCCAGCTGGTCGATGAACATGCACTGACACGTCAGTAAAGTCTGGACTCTCTCGGGGTTGCCCTCTTCGCAGGCCCGCCACAGCTCGGCGCTGAGGAAGGCGAAATGCGTCAACAACTCGTGCGTCGTCGGCTGAGCCCCCAAGGGACTGTGCTCCCGAAAATACTGATGCATGGCCATGGGGGTCACGGCGCTGACTTCCACGCCCAGGACACGGGCCAAATTCTCCTTCATCAGTCCTCGCACATCGGGGCCGTGCTGTAGCAGCGCTTGCTGCCACTCGCGCCTCCGAGCAATGCCCCCCATCTGGGCCGATGCGGGCGCGGGGTCGCCCGAGCTCGTGGGCGGAATTTGAGCTGAGTCGCTCAGGGTCCCCAGAAGCGGATGGACGGTTGGGCGATGGCCCCGCCCCTGCTGCAATAGGAGGGACTGGTGCAGGCACTGTAGCATGAGGCTGAAGTCCGTCGGATTGGCCGCATGGGGCGGCTCTGACCCGTCGGCGCCGCCCGCCTCGGCAAAGCCGTCGGCCGCAGCGGGATGGGCTAGCCCAGGTGGCGGCGGGGGACCCATCGCTCCGAAACCGGGCGAAGGGGCCCGAGGGACAGCAAGAGAGCGCGCCTTTTCCCACGCCGAGACCAGCGCGGAGGTCGGACCCTTGGGACGCGCGGAGACCCGCTGTGGGGCCACGGGCGCGTGAGACAGGACGGCCTCGATCCCCGCAGGATCCAGCCCGAGGCGCACCGCTTCGTCGCTGAAAAGCTGAGGCACCTCGGGCCGATCGCTCCGGGCAGCCGGCGCGGGGCCCAGCGGCTCGGGTCTGCCGACCATCGTGGAGGCCGCGTGGGCTGCAAGCAAGGCGCGCATTTCGGCAGCTACTTCGGCACGGGTCATAGGAGCCCCGTCGTCCAGAGACGCCGCAGGGGCACCAGGAGCGATCGGAGCGGGACCCGCGACCCGTGGCGGCGCGGCGGTGCCCGCGCGCTTCGCGGGCGGGCCGCGCGGCGCTCCAGCGTCCGCGGGAGATCGCGCACTTGGGGCCGTGCGGTCGGCTTCCCCGTCGGCCGCGAACCCCTCGGGCTCCTCCATCTCGTCGGCAGAGTGATAGGGAGTAGCCCGATCGGCCCCTGGGAGCGGCTCTTCTCCTGCAGTAGGCGGGGCGCCGTGCAAGCGTGCGTAGCCCTCGCGAAGCACCCGAACCCCCGAAGGATGTGGCCAATAGACGCGGCCCCGCACCTCGGCGAAGGGAACGATGACTGCGTCCTCCCCGACCTCTAGAGGGTAAAGCGACTCGAGCTCGAGCTCTGCAACCTCGATATCTACGACGAGGACGGATGCAGTAGTGGCGAGCGGCCGTGAAGCGGCCCCCTGGAGCTGGACGTCCACTAGCTGGAAAGGGCCTATCATTCCTGCAAAGCCATCCGCCTCGGCAGCCACGAGCTCCGCCGTAGAGCGAAAGGCGCCAGGCAGGGCCAGAAGGATGCCCCCTTCTCGAGACGCGAGGGGGATAGCTGCCCAGCTGGTGTCGCCGTCGTCTAGGCGCCATCGTGCGTAATCGCGAGCCGTGGGAGCCGCGAATGGGTAGAGCTCGGGCCATAGAGGCCCTCCGCCAACTGGTGGCAGCTCAGCCATCAATGGGCGCTGTCGTGGGAACTGCCGCCCGAATGCTGGGCGTCTGCCCGCTCGAGCGCTCGAGGCCGAGGCGGAACCCCGTAAGCCAGCGCTCGCGCCGCACGGCGGTCCTGCTCAGGGGAAGCAGGAACCGCACCGCGCGGCCAGGCGGAGGCCCTGAGCCTCCGCCACACGTACGGGCCCAGCAGCCCGAAGCAGCAGCCTGCGCAGGCGCTGCACGCGGCCGTCACCCAAAGGAGGGCGACGACCGTGCTGAGCAGCCAGGGAGAGACCCCGCCGCTCAGATCCACCGCCAGCCCGAGGCAGACGGTGGGGCAGGCGGAACCCGCCGAAGGGAGGGGGCAGTAAGCCCCCTCACCCTCGGACGAGTCCGCCTGCTGGATGGACCAGGCAGGCGCAGGAGGCCCTTGGTCCTGAAGCACAGAGAGGGGGGCAGACACGAGCCGCTCGTAGAGCGCGGCCCGCAGCCCCCTGAAGAAGATCTCCCCAGCGCCCCCGAGAGCCGCTTGTGCGACCGCCTGCATAAGGCGTCCGCACGCGCGGCCGACGGGGGGGCACTTGGGCAGAGAAGCTGCGGAGACAGCAGGAGCTTGCTCACAGAGAATAGAAGAAGCATGATGATGATGATGATGATGGTGGTGATGATGATGATGGTGACGGAGACGGGAATGATGGTGATGATGATGATGCTGATGCTGATGATGATGATGCTGATGATGATGAAGGATAATATGATGAGAATGGCGATGATGGTGATGATGATGGTGAAGGTGATGGTGACGCTGGCGATGACGGAGGAGGAGGATCGAAGTAGGGCGACCAAAGACACTGGAAACTCGAACATCGCATCGACATCGGTCTCCAGACCCCCCCTGGGTCCCAACGCACCCGCTTCCCCGCTTCCCAGGGCCCCACCTCCCCGAAGGCCCACCGCCGGTGCCTCAAGCCGGCCCCCGCGGAGGGAGCGACGACGACGACGACGACGACGACGACCACGACGGCGACAACGACGACTTCGAGCATGACGACGACGACGATGACGACGTTGATCACGACGGCGACGACAACGACGACGACAGCGACGACGGGCCAGGGGC